TCAAAGATTCTGTCAAGGAGTAATTTAAGGGTTCCTATAATAATATTTTCCAAATATAACATCTTCTAACACTCCCCCTCAAGCTGAAGGGTGTATGGAAATAACGCTCAGCTTGATATCAAATCATGAAACAGATCATTTTCCAACGATTTGGAAAAAGACAATAAAACTGCTAGAGACACAGTGAATGCGAAGAACAATGCTACCGAATAACACCGGCAGCCCAAATAAGTCACAATTAGAATCAAGAAACTCTTAGCAACATTTCAGATGCTAAGGGAATACCCCAAAATAGAGGTTCGAACCTAGGAAGAGAAATTAGGCTCTGATACTATGTCAAAATTGAAGAGAGAAATAGAAAATGAAGCACGCAAGGATACACGCACAAAGCCCAAATGGCTACATCATCTTTATTATATTCTCTCTTAATCTTTGTATACAATGATCTCCTCTATTTATAGGTTAAAGAATAGAGGTGATAAATATGGAAAATACATTAATGGAAGATTCCTAAAATCAATACTATAAATCACTCCAATCAATATTCTATTATAGGCTAAAATCTCTGCTATGATATTCTCATATCAAATATTCTGCCAAGAAGTAATTTAAGGGTTCCTATAATAACAACTAATAACTTTCTTGGGTAAGATAAAATGACTGGACCAAAAAGTTGAATGGAGAAAAGAACACTTTTAATGAATTGAAGTCTCCCACCAAAAGATAAGGACCTACTCCCCCAAAAGCCAATTTTAGATTTAATTTTCCCCACAAAAGCATAACAATCTGAGGCTTTGAGTTTAGATGTAATGAGAGGAACACTCGAGTATCTAAATGAAAATGAGCCATGACGGAAACCAAAACATGAAGTGATAGTTGATTTAATAGAATCAGGAACATTAGCAACGAGAAAGATCACTTTTAGGAGGGTTAGGATGTCATGCCAGAGATGCTAGAAAAGATTTGAAGGGCATTAGAGAGCAAGGAGGCGGAATTCAAATCATCATGGCAGAACATAAGTATGTAAGCTTAGTTTTCAAACATCTCCAGTGGTACATGAATGGACCCCGAGTAAAAAGATGAGAGATAATAAGAGAAAGGGATTCCAGAGCAATGAGGAAAAGATAAAGAGAGATAAGATCTCCTTGCCAGACCCTTAGCACCTTGAAAAAACGCTTCAAAAGCACCATTAATGTTTATAGAAAATCTGGGAGTCGTAATGCAGGCTTTTGTCCACTGACAGAAAGTACTAGGAAAGCCAAAGAGGCCCAAAAGGTCTAGGATATAATCCCATCTAACTGAATCAAAGGCCTTTTGCAAATCTACTTTAATATCACACCTAGCAGGCCCTGAATTGACATGATAATTCCTAAAAAGCTCTTGAGCAATAAAAATATTATCACTAATTCTCCTATTTGAAATGAAGGCAGATTGAGAGTTAGAAATGATGGAAGGGAGAACTAGCTTCAATCTATTTATTATAACCTTTAAAACACACTTATAAAGAGTGTTACAACAAGATATAGGTCTAATATCCTTGACCATGGTAGGATTAGCAATTTTAGGAATTTAGGAAATAAAAGTACATTTTAACTCAGAAAGAAGCTTTCCAGAATTGGAAAAAGAAACAGAAAGAACTCTATTTTTCTGCCTGTTCTTTGTCCATTCTGAAACAAAACCGAAGAGAGACTTCATTTTTTTCATGTTGTTCTTTCTATTATTTTTTTTTGTTCTTTTTTTGAACCAAAAAGTAAACTTTTAAACTAAATTGCTCTGTCTAATTGTACATTCTCTCTGTGCTCCTTTTTCTGGTTGTTTAGGCTTTACCTTAATTTCTTCTGTGAGATTTTGCTTGATTGTTATGCCGATGCTTTTATATAGAGGAAATCAAGAAATTGATTTCTAGTGTTTGCCATGTGTCTTGGTATCTTTTAATGTTAATTGATTTTATTATAATGTTTCATGTTGGTTGTTTAGCCTTATTCTGTCCTTGTATCGAAGTTATTTGATTTAGAAAGTTTGTTTTTGTTACTTTTCTAATAGTTTTATAGATTCTTACAATCCTCGATCCAATTCTACGATCCCGATTCTATGGACCCGTCATTGATCCTACATAGAATCCCCATCCTAACAACCTTGCTATAATGTGTGTTGGATTTAAATATTAAAGTTACACCCTCTCTAATAGCTTAAGCTTTTAGAGTAGCTTGTTAACATGGTATCAGAGCCAAAGGTCTCGAGTTCAAACCTCACCGTCACTCTAATTAAAAAATTAAAGAACACGTGTTGGACTAAAAGAAGGCTACACTTGAGGGGGCGTGTTGAAGGATTTAAATATTAAAGTTACACCCTCTCTAATAGCTTAAGCTTTTAGAGTAGATGGTTGTTAACAATGTGCCAAGTAGATCTAAAGAAATGGCCATTAAAGCTATCAGGCGGGTTTTTTCTCTAGCTCGAGGGGCTCGAGACAAGGGGATCTGCTTTCTCCTTTCTTGTTCCTTTTTGTGATGGAGGCTCTTAGCAGGTTGCTGAAGAGGGCTGTGGAGTTGGGTTTTTTGAGAGGTTTTCGGGTGGGCAGGGATGTTGCTAGTCAACTGGAGATTTCCCATTTGATGTTTGCGGATGATACTCTAGTGCTTTATGATGCGAACACGTCCCAGTTGAGATATTTGAGATGCGTTTTGATTTGGTTCCAAGGTGTTTCTGGTCTTAAGGTGAATGTTGGCAAGAGCCATCTTGTGCCTGTTGGGGATGTTCCTGAGATTGAGATGTTTGCTCAGATCCTTGGATATTGCACTGGCTCTTTTCCCATTTCTTACTTAGGATTGCCTTTGGGAGCCCCTTTGAGATGTGTGGGGAATTGAGATCCGGGATTCGGTTGTGGATAGATTCGAGAGGAGGTTGGTGGGTTAGAAAAAGCAATACCTTTCCAAGGGGGGTCGGGTTACTCTGATTAAGAGCACCCTTTCTAGCCTTCCTACTTATTTCATCTCTTTGTTTCAGATTCGTTCTTCAGTGGTTGAGAGAATTGAGAGATTGCAGTGCAACTTTCTTTTGTGTGTGTGTGTTTGGTTGTTGGGGGGGGGGGGGGGGCGGGCGGTTCAAGTATCATCTGTGGTTCGGTGGGAGCATGTATGCCGTCCAATTCGGAATGGAGGCTTAGGGTTAAGGAGGTTGTTGCCTTTCAATAAGGCTCTCCTTGGTAAATGGCTTTGGAGGTTTGGGATTGAGAGGCATTAGCTTTGGAGGAGAGTTATCGCGAGCAAGTTTGGGGAAAGCAGTGGTGGGTGGTGTTCTCTTGAGTTGCGTGGTCCAAGGGGGTTAGGGGTTTGGACTTACATTCGGAGGGGTTGGGAAGATTTCTGCAAGCATGTTCGTTTTCGGATCAAGGATGGTAGGAGGATCAATTTTTGGAAGGATCTTTGGTGTGGGGAGCTTCCTCTTGCTCTCGCTTTCCCACGGCTCTATAGGATTGCTTCTCACCGACAGGCCATGATGGTTGACTGTTCTGACCTTGATAACGGGAGACTGACTTGGGATGTTCAGTTCAGGAGGCACTTTCAGGATTGGGAGATTGAGGATGTTTCTCGTTTTTTGGAGCTTTTGTATAGCCAGGTGATCACTTTTCGGGAGTCGGATTGTTGGTTCTGGGTTCCTAACTCACAGGGTCGTTTCGAGGTTAGGTCCTTTTTCAGGTGCCTTTCGGTTGTTTCCAGAGACCCTCCCCTGGAAGTCTATTTGGAGTTCTAAGGCTCCCCTCAAGGTCGCCTTTTTTGCTTGGACTTCCGTCCTAGGTAAGATTTTAACCCAGGATAATTTGAGGAGGAGAAATCAGGTGGTGTTCAATCATTGTTATATGTGCTTGTGTGATGAGGAGACAGTTGATCACCTTCTTTTACATTGCAGCATAGCCCGAGACTGTTGGGATTTGATGCTTGGATTATTTGGGGTCAATTGGGTTATGCCTTGTTCCTCTAGAGGGTTGATTGAGGCTTGGAGAGGCGTCTCTGTTGGGGCTCTCATTCAGGATGCTTGGAGAGCTACGCCTCTTTGTATTTGGTGGTGTATTTGGCTCGAGAGAAATAGGAGGTATTTTGATGGAAAAAAGAAACCTATTTCTATGCTTAAGTTCTCTATTATTTCTACTCTTTTTTGTTGGGCCTCAGGGAGAGATTATAGATCTACAGAGGAGATTATTGTCTTTTTGGCCTCTTTGAAGGTCTAAGGTGCCCTTTGGCCCTTTTGTTTCTTTGGGTTTCGCACCCCTTAGCGTTTTTAATAAAATCTTACTTATCAAAAAAAAAAAAAAAAAAAACAAAAAATAATTCTTTGACAATCTTTATTGGTGAGGCTAAGAATCTTATTTCTGTTTCTTCTAGAGTTCACCATCTTGTGAAAGAAGGATGAAGACTTGGTGATAAATTTTGTTCTCCCCTTTTAGTTTTTTCTTTCGCAACATTTTTCCTAAACTCATTTTTTTTTGGTTCTGTGGTGTGCCTGTGTTGGTGGTTTGGTGGGTGGGGGATAGGGTGAAGAGGGTTTGGTTTGTCAAATTGACCATGCATATAGCATGATATCTGATACTCATTTCTTATTTTGGCTTTATTATCAGAAGTTCTATTGTTATCACTGTCATATGCACATGTTTTTGTTTGTGCCATAATCAACGAAAATCGATATGATGTGGAGCCTGAGCCTCAGATTAATCTTGGCTAAGTACCATTGTTAGCTGGGTCCTTGTTTGAATAATTGTAAGATTATATTCTTTTAATGCTTCCTGCATCTAAGTTTCAGAATGATGTCAGTGAGTTGTCCATTCATCATGGTGTGGACCTATGCTATTTATTTATTTTTGTAAATCTGTATAAAGCATTGTCTGAAAGAATTACACTGCCATTTTCTTTTCATGGCATTTGCATTGCCCAGACATTGTTGCAGGTTTACTTGTATAAATCAGATACCAGATGACTATACCTGATATTTCTCGTATTTTCTTGCAGGCCAAAGATGTGTTCTTAAGATGGATCACCATTGCATTTGGGTGGTGAATTGTGTTGGAGCATGCAACTACAAATTCTTTCTCCTTTTTCTGGTGATTAATTTCTTTGACCTCAATAATTTTTATAGACAAGTTGAATATAATTCCAAGACAAGAAAAACATTCAGCAGGTACTTAGAAATGGATGTTTGGCTTTAGTTTCGTATGTTTAGAAGCATCTCCAAGGAAGATGACTCATTGTGACCTTTAAATAATTTAGGAAAATTACCCTGAACTTTGAACAAACTTGTGGTCAACCTCCCTTGAAGTTTGGCCAAAATGATAGATACCCCTTGCCCACTAAGTGGCTATTAGTACTGTCAAAAGTTTAAGTGGAATATTGATAATAAGGAACTGATGACATTAACCTTATTTTTCTTTGTAACGTCTTTAATATCTGTACGTGATATGACAAAAATGTCTTTGAACAAATTTTATCATATAAATATAATTTATTATTTTATATGTAGCTAGATCTGGTTTTCCCTGAATATAGCTAGAATTTTATATATTAATATCCATATTAAAGATCATTCCCTTTACAAGCTTTAAAAATTTAAAGAAAATTGTAAAATTCTAATTTATATAATTTCAAATTTTCACCCAAAGTGTAAAATTTGCAAATTTTGCCAAAATATACGAATACAAATTACTTACTTTCACTCGAATTTAAATTTTATAAGTTTTTTCTACATGTCTATCACATTTAGGCTAATTTTACTTTAAATTAATTGGAGAAATATATATTAATATTACATTTTATACTATTTAAATATTTAATTACAAATTACGAGTTAATATTTCTTATTTGCAAAATTAAGTTACAAATTTTGCACATTAGGATCCTAATTTTAAAAATTAACTTGCAAAACCAAAAAATATATATATATAATTAATAAATTTGTTAATTCTATATATTTATTTCATTAAGCATATCTATTATATGTATATAATATAGACATAACACATAGATAGGGCACACAACAATGTGCCCGCCACCACTAGCCCCTACCACCACCAAAAACACCTACCACCTCCTTCCACCCCTCTCTCTCTCTCTCTGTCTCTCTCTCTAATAAGGAGTATCACCATCCACAATTCTCCATCTCAAACTCTGAATAGGCAAACCCAGGGATTTATAGACAATGTTTGATCCCAGCTTAACACTTTGATCTATAAGTTTATAACATCGTCTGTGTGAGCAACAAGAAACATTCCTCTTCTTGCCAGCTTCAGCGATTGGATGAGCAATTTAGAATTCCTCTTCTTTGATTTGGAATTGTTCTGAAAAATCTTGACGATTGGATGAGTGATTTTGTTGAAATCCATTGCTGTCGTGACAGAATGAGGATGTGGAGCGATAGAGTGAGTTGAGAGTGAGTTGAGAATGAGGAGAGATAGAGCAACTGAGAGAGTGGTGGTTGTGGGAGCTGGTAGGAGGCGGCACTGATGAAGAGATAGGGATGAGAGAGAGGGAGCCGAGGAGGTGGCGGCATAGAAGTGTTGAAAGATATAAAAATTAAAGAGAGAAATTAAACATGAAGAACACAAGAAAAGACACACAAAGCCTAAAGGGCTACATCACCCTTATTATATTCTCTCTTGAGATTGTTTACAATGAGCACCTCTATTTATTGGTGAAAGAACAAAGCGATAAATGTGGAAAATACAATAATGGAGGATTCATTGAATCAATCCCATAAATCACTCCAATCTTATTTTATCATAGACTAAAATCACTCCCACAATATTCTCAGAGCAATATTCTGTAGAGTAATTTAAGGTTCCTATAATAATATTCTCTAACGCATAACACATAGATAGGGCACACAATAATGCACCCACCACCACTAGCCCCTACCACCACCAAAAACACCTACCACCTCCTTCCACCTCTCTCTCTCTCTAATAAGGAGTATTACCATCCACAATTTTCGATCTTAAACTCCGAATAGGCAAACCCAGGGATTTATAGACAATGTTTGATCCCAGCTTAACACTTTGATCTATAAGTTTATAACATCGTTTGTGTGAGCAACAAGAAACATTCCTCTTCTTGTCAGCTTCAGTGATTGGATGAGCGAGCAATTTAGAATTCCTCTCCTTTGATTTGGAATTGTTCTGAAAAATCTTGACGATTGGATGAGTGATTTTGTTGAAATCCATGGCTGTCAGACAGAATGAGGATGTGGAGCGATAGAGTGAGTTGAGAATGACGAGAGAGACAGCAAATGAGAGAGTGGTGGTTGTGGGAGTTGGTAGGAGGCGGCACTGATGAAGAGATAGGGACGAGGGAAAGGGAGCCGAGGAGGTGGCGGCATAGAAGCATTGGTGGGATCAAGAGGTGCTAGTGGTAGAGAAAAGTTGAGAACAGAGAGAGTTGGTGACGGCATAATGTAGGAGGGGTAATGGATAGTGGCCTTGGAATTAGAGCCGGTGGCAACCCACCGTGCATTGGGCGTTGGAGTTGACGACTAATTTGGCGGTTGCAGTGAGGGCAGCTGATATGGCTGCAAAATTTGTAGGAGTTTTTGTTTGGGACAAGTTGGGGTTTGTTGAAACTTGAAAGATATAAAAATTGAAGAGAGAAATTAGACATGAAGAACCCAAGGATAGACACACAATGCCCAAAGGGCTACATCACATCACCTTTATTATATTCTCTCTTCAAATTGTTTACATCGAGCACCTCTATTTATAGGTGAAAGAATACAAGTGCTAAATATGGAAAATAGATTGATAGAGGATTCCTAAACTCAATATTCTATTATAGGCTAAAACACCACCCCCCCCCCCCGCCGGCAAAAAAAAAAGTTGGTACACGGAGATTTTAAGTCAAGTGTTCGACTTGAAACTAAATACGGAGAGAGTCTGAGACGAGTTGATCCGGAGATTCGAAACAAATTGATCTGAAGATCTGAGACGAGTAGAGTACAAAGTAGGGTATGATAAACCTGTTCTAATACCATGTTGAAAGATATAAAAATTTAAGAGAGAAATTAGACATGAAGAACACAAGGATAGACACACAAAGCCTAAAGGGCTACATCTCCTTTATTACATTCTCTCTTCAGATTGTTTACAATGAGCACCCCTACTTATAGGTGTGAGAATACAAGTGCTAAATATGGAAAATACATTGATGGAAGACTCCTAAAATCAATTCCATAAATCACTCCAATCAATAATCTATCATAGGCTAAAATCACTCCTATAATATTCTCCAACGGGGTTTAGGTAGAGTAAGGTTAAATTTGGCATTTCACATAACCACCATACATCAACATATAAGACCTTTTTTTTAACTAAAACTTAACGATGTTAGTTTTGTCATTTCTCATATGCCATTGTAGCTGTTAGGATTTAAAAATCGCATAGGAGTGTAAGAGTGATTTCTACAATACTTTCATCAATGGGTGAAAAAAACTAAACTTTAGGGAAGGTCAAAGTAATTTACCCTATAATTTAATGCTGCAAGATGTTGACCTCCTTTCTCCATGAGAGAAGCAAGGAGGTCAACATCTTTCAAATATACAATATGGATTTTGGCAATGCAATGTAGTTGGACTCTCATGTTGATCCAAATGAATCATCCTTTCCACGGAGGTAAATTGCAATACCAATAGCCATATATGTGATATAGATAAATGCATAGTTGAAAGTACATGATATACATATGAATGTGTGTACTAGTTCGTCAACGATTGGAATCTGTCCAACTTCAATTCAATACTCTGGGAAATTGGGCTTGGTAAAGCTATGCTGATTCAATAATTTGATAATGATTTGAGTTCGGTAGATCTCTTAATTAACAAAGTGATTGTGGATTTGTGGATTAGGACTGATGTAATCTAATAATGATTTGATACTGCTTTTACAACTCTACTCAAAATACTGTTTTTGAATTTACTTGGAAGTAGTTGAAAGGACATGATATGCATATGAATGTGTGTACTAGTTTGTCAACAATTGGATTTTGTCCAACTTCGATTCGATAATTGGGAAATTGGATTTGGTAAAGGTATGTTGATTCAATAATTTGATAATGATTTGAATTCGATAGTCCTTTTAATTAACAGATTGATTTTGGATTCGGAGTTATCTAATCTAAAAATGATTTGATACAACTATTACAACTCAACTCAACACAGCCTTATTAAATTTACTTTGAAGTAATTACAAGAATTCTGTTTTGCCATTCTGCTGTATCTGAAGTCATAGCCTCAGTCAAATCACGTGCTACAATATCTTCTTTTTTTTTTTTTTTTTTTCAATTCTAACTATCTCAGCCCATTTTGTTTTGGCCCTAGTATCTTGAACTCCATGTTAGGATCATGTCACTTTTCTTAACATTGGAGCTACTGGCTGTCATTGCACATGGCCAAACATCTTTAATCGACTCTGTGTCAACTCCACGTCTGGATTATATCCCACCTCAAACTCAGATTAAGAAGAGAGCCCTTGAACTGCAGTTCAATCACGATAAACAATTCAAGAAAAGAAATGGATTCTCCCTCCAGCGAGAAAGGGCAAAAAAAAAAAAAAAAAAAAAAAAAAACAGGTTCTCTCTCATTTTGTCTCCTATTGGTGCCAGTTGAAGTTTTTGAACCATCTCACAAATGTGTGCATTTGTAATCTTATCTTTTTTGTCTTGCCACACATCCATCTCAATATTCGTATTTCTACCATACTCATTTTATGAATTTGTTGTTTTGTAGCCACACTCATTGATCCACTTATAATATATATATTTTATATGTCATCAATGTATAATTATTTCCCATATGAGCACTAGAATCTCTAACGACCTTATACTATATATATATTTGGTATAAATGTGAAGGTCTAGGGTTTTCCTATTTCACAACTTTGAAATCTGTCTCTTTGTCTCTATATATTTTATCTTTCTCCATCCATTCTCAATTAAGGGCTTAAGGGCTGTTGTTGAAGCAGTGACTGTCCTGTTCTTCATCTGTTCTTAGTTGCTGACAGGTTGCTTCAAGCACTGTTTTTTGGGTATAGTTTGTTGCTAATTACATGAGTTCAAGCATCTTCAACATCCATCTCTCTCTTGTTTCTCTAAGTTGAATTTGATCATCTTTTCCTCTTTATAATTCTTTTTTATCTATCACCTGAAAACAATTCTGTCATTACAAATCTTTCCTTATCGACAAAAACAAAAAAAAGATTGTCATAACAAAAAAAAATTATTTTATTTAAAAGATGTTAAAACTATTGTTCTCTTGTAACCATATTATGTCCAGTCTGGCATGTTAATTGTTGTTTCGATCTTGTGTTATGGATCCCCTCCCCCCTTCCCGAAAGAAAATAATAATAATAATAATTATTATTATTATAATATAAAAGGGATCCTCTTTACCAAACAAAGTAACAGACTATCAAATCAGATATATGATAGTTAACAAAATTGCATTTGAATTGTAGAAGAACAGGTTTGCCACATTATTGGGTGAAATCATATTATATTCTTTTATCAATGGATCAAAATAAAAATACAACCCCCGATCCGTTCGAAATCCAATCTGCCTGTAGGCATAGTGTGTATTGTAATAACCCTTCTCCTCCTATCTAGCACTTGTTTTATGAGCCTTCCCATACCAAACTTCTGTTTAGAAAAAAGAAATTTGGCCAGATCGGGTTGGTTGAGTGCCAATGATAGAGTTGTATTTACTAATCCAAAAAAAAAAAAAAAAAAAAAATTGCTGAAGTGGTATTCAAGCTCTTACTTTTTCAATTTTACCTGTGGCTTATATGGATGAATCCTTGGAGGGTCATCATTAACTAGTTTTTGAAATAGTCTATACATGCTTAACTTGAACCTCACTCATTAAATAAATGTGTCATGATTTCTAAACCTAGACTTAATCCATTTAAAATCACATTAACCTAATCCCAATTTGTTTATCCCTTTATTTATTTATTTATTTATTTTTTTACCCTCCTGAAAAATAAAATTTCTATAAATTTATATTTCTGAAATTGCTTATATTGATTTATATTTTATTACAAACCAATTATCTAGAAACTATATGTGATTAATTTTTATAAAAGGCATCGTATACTGATGCATTAGGTTCACCCTGATCAACATGAGACAGGCTATTTGAACTCTACATTTTTATTTAAACTGGTGAAAAATCTCAATCCAAACCTTAGGGCCCATTTGGTTAGACGGAAAATTATGATGGAAAGTGAAGTGAACGAAAGGAAAATCAAGTTTCTAGTATGCATTTGGTTAGCAGGAAATTTTTTCAAGAAAGTTGTGAGAAAATCATATTTTGTTAGTTTGGATAACAAGAAGCTGAAAAGAAAATGATTTACTTGCCAAAATTCCCCTTATTATTTCAAATACTAAAAAAATGAATTTGTGTTAGATGAACCCTCTTTTATAGGCAACAAATATAGTATAATGATATATTATTAAAAATAATAATATAATTGCTTATATATATATTTAAATTATTTATACTTAAAATAAGGCTTAGATAATATTTTTTTTAAATGTGGAACTCATGTGAAAGATAGTTCAGCCGTGGAGATTGGTATAAAAATTTTGATGTTCAAATATTAGACAAGAGTATAGAACTATAAGACTAATAGATTGTGGTAAAGATAAATATTTTAACGTGTTTGGATTTTGGAACAATACTTTATTGAGTTGTATGTATCATAATTTTAAACTATTTGTGTTTGCATATTATTGTATAACAATAGGATATATTTGGATTAGGGGCATAATTGGAAATTAAGAAATAAATGCACCTCTCTTGCGAGAAAGTAAAACTTTCCCGTGTTTTATGCGAGAATTTGGGGAAAATTAACCAGTTACAGGAATCCTATTTTCCCTAAAATTTTCTTTTTCATTATAAGCAAACACTTCCAAAATTTATGTTTCTTTTCTTTTCTGGTTACTTCATGCCAACCAAACGAGCCCTTAAAGATTTAGTTGCTGGTTTGAACATGTTGATGGGTTGAATCAAAATTGCAATCCCTAAAATGCAGTCAAAATGTTTTAATGACTTTTATGCGGATCTTTGATTTGGTGTTTTAAATTTCAGTTATTCCTTACTTTTTTTTTAAAAAAAAAAAAAAAGAAAAAAAAAAGAAAAGAAAAAAAGAAGTCATATCTCAAAGTCTCAGGTGTTTTGGTCACCCCGTAAGTGTCCAAGAAGTGTTGGCTACTTGTATGAAATTAAGAATTTTATTTTCGTCTCTTACCTTATATCTATGTTACACAGACTCTCCAAAAGTAATGAAATACCAGTGTCGGACACATATTGCTCGGACATGGGTATGTGATATGTCCCCGACACTTTTGGTTGAATATGTACTTAAAAAGCATATCCAATAATATTTAATTTTATTATATTATTGCTTTAAAATGAGTTAAAATGTCTATATTGAACACTATGTTGCATAAAGACATTACTTTACTCTAGAAAATAAAATTAAATAATTAAGCAAAATGAATATTTAGCAATGCCCATGTGTCCCTATGTTTGGAGATTTAACACATCCGACGCCTGGATACATATCCGTACCCGAGTCCATGTAACATAGCCTTATATATATTCAAAATAGATAAGAGAAAAATAGGTAAGTCAAAATTAACACAGGTCGGGTGTAATAGGAAAAAACCTAATGAATTTTGATGTAATAGAAGAAATAGCTTGTAATAGAAAATACTGGAAGAAGAGAGTCCATGTAGGGTTTGATTTAGAAAAAAGCAATAGTGATGATGTTGATATTTATACTATGGACACATCTACGATGTGTTGAACGCGTCCACAGGTGTCCAAGTGTAACCGTCCAAGACATGTAGCTGACAAGAACGCATCTTCTGGTAAGTGTCCATGCTTTTAGCGTATAACCCGTGATTTCTGTATTGTGTGATATTGCTTTTTCTTCTGGCCCATATCCCCTACCTTGCGAATTACATCTGGAAAGTTTGTTGGCGTGTCCTTAAACAATTGGAACATGGGTCTAAATTGGCTTTTCTGGTAGTTTTTGAATGTCGTAGTGATTGCTATCACTTTTGGTGCTCCCGTGTCCCTTTCGAGGATGCTTGGAATCATAAAAATTTAGTTGTAATTCTTGTTATTGTGTTTTCTTTATCTTTTTCCAATTATATATTGACAAGTATTTATTAATGTATATATATTTATCATCACAGTTGTATACATTTCTGGAGACGACATTGGATACTCTTGTGTTGCTGCCTAGTTTCATAAAATTCTTTAGAGAGGCCAAGAATCATTCCAACTCACCAGGCAATCTTGCGATCACTTTTCTGGCTTTTGGTAAATTGTCCCACCTAAATTGATTATTGTTAAATCCAAAAATAAGCTCTTTGTTTCAGTGTTTCTTACAGATTTTGTACCTTTATGCAGTTTTAAATTTAGCTTTTGCTCTGAGTCTTCTTTGTTTCATAATTATGCATGCATCTCTTCTGTCAAGCAACACCACTTCAGTAGAGGTAACTAATGCAATTATTAACTTCTGTTCATCTATCCTTTTATATAACCACACAATCATTGCTCCAAGCAAGAGGAAGAAACTTAAATTACCTAATCATACTGTTCTTACTGTGTGGGAACTGGCATTCTTAGTTTTAGGCTTAATTGCAATTAATCCCTCTGTACTATTGTTTTGTGGCACAAAACCCCCGCAACTATGTTTTTGGCTGATAACCCTCCTCATCTATCACAAAACTGGCACCTTGCCCCCCTGCCATTAATTTGGCTGTTAAAAAGAGATGGAACATGGAAATGGTACAGAAGGCTCCCTGTCATTTTAAATCACATTCTTAATAATGATTTTGTTTAACCAGAGTCATTGCCTTTGGACGGGAGAAAAAAAAAACTACACAATTATTTCTCTTTGTGTGAGACCTGGGATGGTGGTGGTACTACAGTTGTTTGTAACCTTCTATATCATCATTATTGAAAATGCTACATGAGAACTCTTGACTATCATTTTGTACTTGTGATGGCTGAATCAGGACTTAGTTCCAAAGTAAAGAACTATAAGGTCATACTATGAATATATAATATATAGTGACATTTATGTCTAAAATGCCTTGTAAATGTAACTATCATTTTGTAGAATGACACACCGCTAAATAGTACCTACTTTACTAATGTATTCTTAATCCTTGAAACTACTTCCCATATTTTGAAAACGAAGTTAGATGCTCTCTATGTTGCAGTAGCTTATGGCCCTAGTTATAACTAATATAACCACAATTTTCAGGTTTATGAGAAGAAAAGAGCTGTCAGGTGGAAGTATGACTTGGGCAGGAAGAAAAACTTTGAGGAGGTTGGATATGTTGGATATGCTTCTCTGATTTTATTCCAATTTCTTATTGTGCATATAGAGGCAAATGATGAAAACATGATTGCTAGTGAAATATTTTAAGATATATTTGGTTACATGTCCTCTTGCATAACCTTTTCTGAACGGGAAAAAAATATTTCCACATGATAACATTTATTTCCAGGGAATTCTAGAAAGAATTATAACCAAGGTGAAGTGTAAAGCTTAAGAATGTTACTTCTAGGAAATATACCGTCTGGCCACCTCAATGCGATATTAAAGTATATAATTTGATTAACTGATCTTTTGATCTCTCACCAAAATGTGATATGATTCTGAACTATAGTTTTTGATAGGCGATAGAAGTCATTCTGTCTTCATAATAGACCTTTATCTTAATGGTTTCATTTTCTCTTGCTCTCTTTTTCCTTGAAGGTTTTTGGCACTCAAAAGGCATTATGGTTCTTCCCATTGTTTTCCAAAGAAGATATGGTAAACATACCTGCTCTTCGGGGCCTAGATTTTCCGACATGTTCAGATGTTGAGGTGTGAGGCACAACACCGTGCTCTAGTGACTAGAGAACGGCTACCAGCGTATCATTATGTGTCCACTTAATATGCATTAAACATTAGGTTCTGAAAAGTTGTGTTTCCCAATCAAATCTTGTTTGTAACTTGCGAAGTGATGTACATATTTTTTGGCTTGGAATTATCTTTGTGTTTGCTGGATGATTATTTCAGAAGGTGACCATTTTTTACTTCATGGGTGCACCAGAGTCATTGTGGGCTAGAATGAATGTGGTAGGCGGTTTAGATATTTTCTATATAACTGGAGGAGATTTTAGGATGGTTTGCTAACTGTTGGGATGTAGGGAATGAATTAAAATTGTCTAGGAAGGTTAGGATCATTCCATCAGCAGTTTGGGAGTTGTCATCTCCTTGAACTTTTGTATGTCTTAGGAGTGAGAAACTTGAAAGGGCTAGGATAAGAGCAAGGACTTATATCTCTTGATCTTTGGAATCATATGATTCCAAAGATAAGAACTTGTCAGAGATATAATCGGGTTACTTTCATATGAGAAGAGGCAAGAACTGTGCTTGAGAAAACATTTGAGTGCAAACTGATGTAATCTTTAGAGCATGTACAATCGAGTCGTCCATCATGGACAATGGTTAGAGAGCCTTTTAGAGCACCCATAGCCTATGAAGTATGAACAACAGAAAGATAAGACTACTTTTGTGCGTATTTTGTTTTTCAATTTCAGAAGCAGTAGTGCATCACAAGTAAAATCTGAGACTGACCTGATATATAAAATTTTAACTGGAAAACCAATAGAAAGAAACAGAAAAAGAAAATGCATATATATATATATGTATATGCTGGGAACTTGATCTTTGGAATCATATCTCTGACACTGCGTGGTGAGGTGACTTATCTTGTGAAACAGCAGAAGGTTGATTGAAGCACCAAATATCGGAGAAGAAGGCGGAAGACCAAGAAATGAGCGGTGTAACTAAGAGAATGAGACCAAAAGGCACCATCCACAGCTGACTATAAGTGGGATGATACTTTAATTCCCACCAGCCCAACATCAGCCCACCTGCCATGCTTATTATAAATGGAGCCAAGCAAGCTATGCATGCCTTCAAAGTCTTCCCAAATATTTGGTACGTTAAGTCTCTCTCTTCCTTGTATGATCCCATCAAACAGATCTTTGAAAAATAAATAGATAAATATAAATAAAAGATGAACGTATACCTGATCAATTGTCATAGAATTGAACCATCTGCAATATAACGCACTTCATTCATAAAGTGTTAATAAGTACAAGAACAAGAGTGTGAAGTGTTTTGAGGGGCTAAGATGGCACGAGTGCCGTAAGTACTCGGGCCTGCAAGTCATACAAGTAACTCCGATTGGGCTTCCACCAAACTTGCCTTTTTATCAAAGTTGTTAGTAGAAAACAATAAGACATTGCCTTTTTATAAAGAAAATATATATGATTGATTAAGTACGTCTCTCAGTTTTTAACACTAGCCATTGATGGAGCTGTCTGGGCCCGCGTAGATTTGATTTGTTTAGTATAGTTGTCTACTGCCTTTCTTCATAGGACATGTGGCCTGTTAACAATGGTTACGTACTTTTAATTTTAAAGGAAAGAAAAGGAAAAGAACAAAATGAAAAGATATACAAGTTTTTTTTTTTTTAATACACAGAGCTAGGTTGCAGCAAACCAATACTTTTGGAACCAGGCAGGACTTTGGGCCTTGGGTCCTGTATGGATCCTATGAGCATTAATAGAAAATTAAAGAAGTAAATCGGAGTTGATAAATGAAGTGGAGGGGTGAGTTCGAACGGATGAGATTTAGTAATGTAATCTGAAAATAAATTGTTGGTTCCAATTTTTTTTTTTTTTTTTTTTTTTTTTTCTAATCAAAGTATTGAATCATAATTGGTTGGAACTTGGAACTAAATATAAAATAACTAAACCGAGGGAAATAACTTTTGAAGACATTCCAACTACGTGATTGTTTACAGGGTAGGGTTGTTTCCTTCGTGCTGGCACACTCTCAATCCATGAGTTATAGATATAAGGGGTAAGTACATAAAACACTCCTACAGTATACCTTTTGTAGTACTTTTACCCCCTATTTGAAAAAGTGTGTAATAAACACTCCTAATTTTTTAATATTGTGCAAAATTAACCCTCTGTCAGAAATCTGACATAAATTAGGGATGCAATATCCATTTTACCTTTTTATTTTTTCCAAAATGCCCATGCAATCATCCTTTTCACTACATCATCCTCTGTCGTGCTCGCCGTCTCCGCTTCACGTCGGAAATTTCAGTGTTCACCGCTAATCCGTCCCCCTCAAACCTAACCATGGGAACCACGAACCAAGGAAAGGCGAAAGCCTAGAGTAACAGTGTTACTTTCTTTACCATCAAGTCTCAACTCTCGCCATCACCACTCTCGTCTTACTCGTCCAACCCTGCTCCCTCTTTACAAAATCCATTAGATTTAAGCTTAATCAAAGCATTCACCCCTGCTCTCTCTCTTCAAAATTACATGTTCATTGGTTTAAGGTTAATCAAACCAAAGAACGAAATCACAATCAGTGGGTGGTTAAGGGTATTCATAGCACTCACACTTTCCCTTCCTTCGAGGACCGCCGAGATGTCGCCACACCACACACTCACCGCAATTTCTCAGCCTCAGAAACTAGCACTGTCTCTGGCCAAAATCCGATTAAGGATCCGATGTCATCGTCGGTGTTTTCAAGACCGGAGTTTGGTTGGAGCGAAGAAGCTTCTCCGATTTCAAATCCCGGCTGGAGCGACGATGTGTATGATAGCGGTGTCTCTGAAATCCCTCAGGAACATGCTGCCGCCACCATTAGTGCCTCCAGTACCTTTGCCGGTTGGTCTTCGTTGTTGCCAGTGTTGGGAAACGTGCTAGTTTTAAAAACTTTTCGAGGGATTTTAATTCATAGATCTTGATTCATCACAAAGAGACAAGTTTTATGCAAAAATGAAAACATGATGTATCATTCAATTAAAAGATTGAATACTTACATCAAGGTTTGAGTAAACCTTAGATCTCTCATTTAAAGTGAATGTTCTCACTTATTGTAGATCCCTTTTGCAAGACGCCTTCTCCTTGGATCTCCATGTTCTTGGTAATTGTTTTGCCTTTAGGAATCACTCATATGCCTCCATGAATGACCTTGGAAAATTAGGCTTGTGGGAGCCTCCATTAGATGAGAACATAAACCCTAATTTTCTAAAGAGAGAAAATAAGTTCCTATTTCCTTCTTCCAAAAATTACCCCTAAAATATACATAGGCCACGTATATTTATAAGTAACATAAAGATAAAGAAAAGGAAACAACAAATCATTCTCAATCTTTAATTTACATGTCTCAAATCTAATATGATTCCAATATCAAGTTGGGCTATGAGTGGGAACCCATTGGGCCTATTATTTTATTGGCTACAATAAATTAATAATTGGCCCGGTCCATGGACCCAATTCAATTAATTAATAAATTAATTTCTACTCCACTAAAAGAAATTAATTGAACTCCAATTAAGTAATAAATAACCTCTAAGTCAATATTACACTTTGACCCCTCTATGCATAATTAGTTATCGGATAAATAAAGTCATCAATCCGACTACTTAATTAATATATTTATTTTAGGACCTTTGATTATTTCTGGCTCGATCACAATAAAACATTTATTTGACAAAAATAATAATTTAAATAAATAAATATATAATAAATCATTTTGTCTAAAAATACACGAAGGCCTTCGAATTTACTTTGTGATCAACCATAATCAATACAAAATAAATACAAGTAGCAATGATGCAAATATTGAAAATATAACCCTTTAACTATTAATTACATAACTACCCAAAGTGTCGGTCTAAGGATCCCGAAGAATCCGCCGAATAAATCAAAGTAATTATTAATTAATAAAAGAGTCTATACTTTTCTCATGCTTAAGAGTCAAATGTCATGACGGTGATAGAGAGCAATTGCATACAACGGCTCTCGCAATATATCTCAACCTAATGCGGATCCAGTTCAAGTCTTAATTAATTATGATTCCATTCATAATTACCGACTATGAACAATTTATGATTACTATTTATATTCATATATTGATCGCCATCACATACATATATAAATATCTCTTGTAATCAAGAGGACACTATCAATTCTATAATGAATCGAAACATAATACATTGAATTCACCAATTGTATAAAGTATAAATATTTCAGAAACGTCAGGAACATATGTCACTATAATCCAGATAGGAATTTGCTATGCCAGGGCATATAAATCCCAACAGCTCCCACTTGCCCTCATAGCCAATTCAAATTGCATCTAACTTCAATGTTATCCAGGTGTTAATCAAAACTATTGATCAATGACACCTTTGATAATGGATCAACAAAGTTGTGTTCCAATGAAATGTTCTAGTTACAAGTACATTTTCTTGCCGGACAATATCATGTAGAACATGATACTTCCTCTCAGTGTATCTTGTTCCTCTATGGAACCTTAGGTCATTGGTTTGGACTACTTTTGCACTATTGTCGCAACATAGCTCAATAGGCAGGCTAGTATACTCCACAACCTCTAAATCAGTGGATCAAACCAATAGGCTTCCTTTGTCGCCTTTAAGGCTGCAATGTATTCCACCTGCAGGTTTGAGTCAGCAGTTGAAATCTGCTTAACAATCTACCAACTGATTTCCCTTCCATTAAGTGAACATACACTAAGTCATAAACCTCATAGTATCTACTTCTGATTGAAAATCATAACTAGCATACCTGACTAGAACCATATCATCACATCCATAAATGAGTATGATATCATTGTTTCTCCTTAGGTACTTAATGATATTTTTCACAACAGACCAGTTATCAAGTCCAGGATTGGACTGATATCATCTGACTATCCCTGCAATGTAGCGGATGTCCTGTTTGGTATAGACCATGGCATATATGAGACTCCCATATGCCAAAGCATATAGTTCCAGTCTCATTTGCTTAATCTCCAATATTAGTCTTGGAAAACTACTTACTAGATAGAGCAATCCATATCAATAAAGCAAGAACTCATTCTTTGAGTTATGCATACCAAACCTGGTCAAAACTTTATCAATGTAGGATTATTAAGATAAGCCTATTTTCCTTTTAACCTGATCTTGCAAAAGCTTGATCCTAGGAATATAACTTACATCTTGAAAATCATTCATTTAAAAGTAATTGAACAACTACCTCTTTATCAATGACAAAACTTCCACATCATTCTAAATGAGTAGGATGTCATCAATATATATAGAATCAAAAAAATAATGCATTCCCTTGTACACTCATAATTTATTCACTAAGAAATCTTCTGGTATCTTTTTGTAAATTAATTTGCCTTCCATAGGAATCACCCTACTAGAAAGTTCTACAAGATCCCAGAATTTATTAGAATATATAGATTCCAACTCTGATTTCATAGTAACTCGCCAAAACGATCTGTATCTATATCGGTTCACCCTTCCGTGTAGCTTACTGGGTCCAACTCATGTTTAACAGGGATGTCCATAACGGTCTCACCTAAAAACATGATTCTGTCGGATTGGATGATAATCCTCCCACTACATCAATGTACCGATGCAGGAATCTGTGTACTAGATGATGCTGACGCATCAATAGGGAATTCATATATTATTCTTAATCTCTATAATAAGTGTGTTCATCATGAGGTACATTTGGTACTCATACCATAATCTCTAACATTATGCTACTAGGTATGTGATTCATAATATGATACTCCTATAGATAAACAGTGAATGTAAACAATCAACTTTTATCATTGAGATCATAATATAATCCACCCTACAGCATTTAGAGTAGCTATCAAATCTATCATGCGTATGATCTGTTTCCAACTTACTTGTCTGTATCAGGTGCACATGTGCAAGACTACCCCATATGTGCATGTGATTCAAACTAAGATTTAGACAAAAACACAGCTCAAACGGTATCCTTGAGACAAACTAAGATGGAATGCAGTTTATAATGTGCATCGATATCATTAACGCTAAACTTTTAAATAAAAGAGATAATGTAGCATAACTATTCATAGATCTAACCATGTTAAGCGGAATTTTGTTATTTCTATTTGGCACCTCAATCCATTGTGCGTCAATTGCGAAAAACTGGTACACAACACCCTCATTGACCATATAGTCTTTGCACTATCCCAAGAAATACTCATACTCACGATCAGATCGAAGTGTTTTGATAAGTTTACCTAATTTGTGCTCCATATCAGTCTTGACCCTCTCGGAATATACCAAAAGTATAAGACTTGTGTCGCAACAGGTAAATTTATCCAAAACGTGAGTAATCTTGCTTGGATGTTCATAAGACCACACGTGTCCGTGTGTACTGACTCCAATTGTTCTTTATGTCTATTTCATTTGGCTGATTAAGTCCTTAGAGTTATCTATCATTCAAAACAGGATTCACAAGTTTGGTTTAGGCTCCTCTGCCTTACTAGGTAATAAACCTTCTTTGACCAATCTTTGAATCTCATTTTGATTGATTACAACCCAAAAATAGACACTAAAAAAATACAATGAGTCAGGAATAATAAATTTTCTCTAAACACTCAATCTAGAAGATGCAACATTAGTTTCTACATCTTGCAAATCTTAAGAGTTTGTGATTATAGCGTCTAATTTCTGTGTATAAAGATAGTTCTCTAATACTAATATCCTCAGACTCTCTAATTTCAGATGTAATACTCCCACTGAATTAATTACAACCTTGGCATCAGGTCAAAAGATAAATATATATCCATATCATCAAGGCTTCTGGATTCCTGAAATCCTTACAATGAATTGCAAACAT